GATACACATCTCTCCGCAGAAACTCCCACTGGCTAGCTTAAGTGGGAAGCTGCCTAGTGTGCTGGCTTTGTGGATTCCATTCTAAGGCTTGGTTTACACTGGGAGTTGGGGGGACGAGCTAAGTCAGTCTAAGTTACGCAACTTCAGCTACAAAAACAGTGTAGCTGAAGTTGATGTACTTAGAGCTACTTACTGCGGTGTCTTCACTGCGGTAGGTCGACTACTGACACTCCCCCGTTGACTCCGCCTACGCTTCTCGCTCCGGTGGAGTACCGGAGTCTACAGGAGAGTGCTCAGTGGTCGATTTATCGCGTCTTTACTAGACACGATAAATTGACTCCCACTGAATCAACTGCTCCAGAGGTAAGTGTAGACATGCCCTAAAAGATGCCCATCTCTCTCCATGCATTGTATAGGGAGCCTAGGCACCTAACCCAGGCTTTGTGGCTCACAGTGTTGTTCCAGTGATTTTTAGGTGCCTAAAAGTTAGGCATTATGACACTCAGCATTGCAACACCTAAGTACCTTTATGGATCCAGGCCTTTGCCTTCTTTGGTGTTTGTACAGAGCAAGGTATGCTGCGGATACCAATCAAAAGAAATAATAAGTAATAACATATATGAATACATTATGTGCTTTTTTAGGCAAAACAGGATCATTTACATTCTCTTCTGGCACAGAACTCTGAACCCATTTATTTCTACATATAATTTGATTCAAATCATTTCAGTAGAAGGGGGGGGGGGGGGAAGAAATATTTTAGCTGAATTATGCCTTTTCTGTGGTATTTGAAAAAGCCCTTAATTTAAAGACCAATAGTCCATAATTTATTCTAGTCACTTTAGTTATTTTAAGAAACCTGAGGTATTCAAATATGGAAAAAATTCTAAGGGCAAAATTCTATCCTTGAATGCACATATAGTGCATACATCTCCTACATCCTTCACTGGGGGTTCTACACAGGATCCAAAGGTAGATTTTGTCCCCAAGCACATACATGTATACTTTTCAGAGCTATTTTTTATTTCCAGCTTTTTAAATTTGTGTAAGCTAATTTTTTTAAAAATCACTAAAAAAATCTCTAAAATAATACTGTCTACAAAAGCTACATTTTTTCTGTTCTTTTTAAATACAGTTGTTGATGCTCCATCAGGTATAACATTATCAGGATTATTTTAATGTTCTGAGGCTCTTGCTATGAACAGCCATACCTCATGTGGGGACCCAAATGGTGACCTGAAAATCTAGCCCTCCAGCAGATAGGAGTTGCAAACATATAACTTCACCAGTCTTCCCACCCACAACTACCTAACCCTATTATCCAATCCAGCTTCCCTTACTCTAAACCACCTTGCAACAAGTGACTTACTAGCTCCCCGTAAGGGAAGTTAGGGTAGAACAGAAGGAAATAAGAAGTAATGGGTGTTAGTAACAGCTGTGTGTTAGGCCACTGGTGAACCGAAATCACTTTTTATCATGATGACCAATGTTGTCCATTGTTTCCTTGGACTCCCCCAGTCTGTGTGTATCCATCTGTTGTCTCTTGTCTAATACTTAGATTGTGAGCTCTCTGGGGCAGGTCAGTGTTGTGTTTGTACAATGCCCTGATCCATGACTAGGACTCCAAGGTATTACAGTAATACCAACAATACAAATAATAATAATATAGTAGTAAGGGGCATGGGAAGTTTTTATTAAGACACAAACAGGATCAGTCTATCTATTGTACATTTAAAGTACCTATCACTATTGTATTGTAGCAAAGATTAGACTGGCTCCACATTGGGCCAAACACTTCTGAAGACGTTCAGACCCAGTACATAGGAGTGGGATACACTCGCACTCTGCCAATGAGAGTTGTGGAACTGTTGGAATGGGGGACAGGAATGATTTCCCAGTGCAGCCCATAATTCCTCACTGATTTTGGTCCTCTCTTTTCTTCCCATTGGGGCTGTGGAGGTTAATGCAGCCCCAAGTCACAAACTCTACTACTTGGGAGAGAAGATGGGATTTGGCAGCTGTGTGTAGTCTGTACAGTTGCCCCCTTTACCATTCATGTCCATGGAGCCCAGGCAAACCAGAAAGGTCTCCAAGGGCTCTGTGCAATGGAGTTTTGTATAATATTATGTATTGTGTCTAAAAAGAAATTATGTAATTTTATATTGTGCTGTATTTAACCCACAAATTATATGATGAGGACTTATATGAAGAACAATTTGTCTCCATGATTCCAATTACAGGTACGTGTAGAACATAATATACTAGTAAGAATTTGCCGTGCATGGCAGTTGGCATTGCTTTGTTTTAAAATGGTAAATATTCTCAGATTGAAGTTCAATTAGCAATGAAAATGTCATGTAGCTTTATTATATGTTTGCTAGTATAACTCATTTAGAAGCTGCTTGCAATGTGCAATCCTACACTAAGTATATCATAACCAAAAATACAATACTTACATATGTATATAAAATATATCCAGAGATAGCAGTGCCAAACAGTCTTTTGGGACAGTCTAAAAGAATATCATTAATTTTTACTGTATACTTACACTCTGGCTCAGTTCCAACACTGGCTTTCTGTAAAAATCATTTCAAGTATAGAATTATGTTGTTTGCTTGCAGCAACATCACAGGAACAGTAGTGAGCCATATGTTGCTACTTAGCAACTTAGTCTATAAGTCCCAAAGCATGTACTGATTTGAAAATTGAACAGAAATGATAATTGTTGAGTGATGCTGTGAGGCAAGTTGTCTTGGATTACCAGGCTATGCAGATGTTTGATGTTATGTAGAAAAAGGAACAAAACTGTATTTTTCCTGTTTGATGGTTGGATTTTTATTATGTTAGCCTAAAGGGGATAAATTGATTAAAAACCCTTACAATAACACAAGGTGATGTTTCCCTGAATATGAACACATTCCAGTAAACAAAAGGAATTTGAAGTGCAAAGTTCAGCTTTCCAAGACCATTCATCACAATTTTGATGTCCAAACTTTATTTCACTCTGCAATATGTACTATTTTACATCATCTGAATTCTTTGAGATATTGGGGTTCAGGAAATATTAGAGAGCAAAGTTAAAATATAACTATCTAGTTACCGTTCATAGTTTCCATAATTAAATGATAGCAATGTCATTTTTTATAAGATTTTTGTGTGGAAGATCAGATGATTCGAACTGAAACAAAGCACGTAGTAAACACATTCTGAAACGTCATAAAAGATTAAAAAGAGTATTGTTATTTTTAAACACTTCAGTTTAAATTATCCAAACTATGCACACACACACAAAGTATAATAATATCAACCGAAGAAAATCATTCTAATGTATAATGTGAATTTCTAATCCTTTATTCAAAACTATTTAAGACAGACAATGATGCTCTGAAAGGTAGCAGCTGCTTTATAACAGCAATCATTCACAGAGTTTGTATTTCTACTGTTTCAAACAAATTCAATTAGCCCTTGCACTTCAAAACCCTTAAGGCATAAATGAGATGATACTAGGTTGCTTTAATCTAATAGTAATACTAAACTTGTCAGTACAGTTTTTGGATTAATGGTTAGAAAAAAAATTAGTAATATAATTTTTCATTTTTTAATCAAACAATTCTATTCAAAACTACCTCTGGATCTTGGAGGGTTCTTTGCTGAATGAGTTCAATCATACTAAGAATCTTAAATTTAAAGTTCGGTCTTCCAAAGGCATTCTTACAGTAACTTCAACAGCAGACAGGGAGGTAATGTGGTGGGAACATTCACATTTTAAATATGGGCTTTTTGACTGATAATATAGCTCAGCTCACATAAAAGATAGTTAAAGAATGAAAGAGAATAAACCTATAAATTAAATTTGAGTAGATAAGCATGACTATCTAAAAATGCTTCTTTATAAAGACATTTAGCTCTGAGTATAATGTCAGTTTCCAAGACTGTTCTTTCAACCCTGGGATTATACCCGTCTACCCTCATCTACTAGTCAAGATGCAAAAAAACTAATTTCCCACTTAACCAGATATCTCCATGTAAGCCCATAGTTTTTGTCATGCAGAAGAGTATCAGACTGTCCACTATTTGAGAAGGGTACTGGGCTACATGGATCACTATCCTGATTCTTTATAGCAATTCGTATGACCCCGGCTTAAATAATGGACCTGTGCTGCTGTCACTATGATTCACTGACACAGAACTGAAATGACTGAAATGTATGGAATGTAACAACAGAATTAGAATTCAAATTCTCCCTCAGCATATGACTGCATGCACCCATGCACAGGTTGCTTTGCTTTTGTTTTTAAAAAGCAATGGCACTCCTTCAGTTTTACAAGCCTAAAATAAATTAAAATGAAATTAACTTAGATGAAAAAAATGTCAACATGTGGACATATGCCACATTTTAATGGTTCTGATAACTTACAAATTGTTCCTTGCAAATTCTCCGTAAAAAGGACTCAAAAATATTTTTGAACAACTTAAACCATATTATACTCTTTTGACTGCAAGATAAACCCCAGCAGTAGATTTTGAGAGACTTGTTATGCTAACACTAATGGTACAACCTTGGCAATATTCCTCAGTCGTATGATTTTTGTTAAAAATGCAATTCTTCATCTACAACTGGCCTAAGAGTGATAATTAAAGCTATTTGTGATAGTGTAGCTTATAATGATTAACTTGTCTGCAGTCAGATAAACAAATAACCTGCACCTGTAAAGACTTTATTTCCTGAAGGTAAAACAACTGTTTAGGAAAGATCATGCTGGCAAAACAGCTGCTTGCATTCTGGAGAGGAAACAAGGTAGTATCTTTCAACAAACGCCAACTCTGGTGTTTTATCAGCTCTATCTCATTAACTGGAAAGAAGGCTTAAATGCTTTGTTTATAAATTATGATTATTCCTGATTGCAGCAGTTACTGATAGTGCCACTCATTTGCAATGCAACTCTTTGGATTTGTTTAATTACAATTTGAAACAAGGCAGAGAAGATTAATTAACCCACCTGGCTTGCTGGCACATAGTCCTGGCTCGGCTCTGTCATACTCATATACATGTTGTCACCGTCAAACTGCGAATGAAATAATAGTAAACATTCAGCAATCTTGAATGTTTTTCAGCATCAACTGGAAAACAGTAGCCATAAAATAATATTATAGCCCGGTTTGGAAGACTTGTAATTGCATGTGTGCATCTTGTCTTTGATGTTCCTGTTGTCATCCTTATTGACCCTGGATGTCAGTGATTTGGAGTAATTAGTGCTCTAGTAATTACAGCAAGCAAGCAAGCAATGAATGGTTTCCTTTCATCTGCAATCTGTTTTAAAACAAAATGGCTCATTTTGTGCACCATGTATACATTCTGCTGTTGGTTGCAATGAAGTACTAAGTGAATTGCACAGTTTCTGACAAGAGGAAGATGATAATGGAAAATGTACTAAAACGCATCTTAATGGATTCTAACTTTACATTTTGATCAAGAACAAGTTTGGAAGTTTCAAAACAAATTAAAATCCACCTTGCTAAAATGTCTCCAAATCAGAAATTAAGAAGAAGGTTCTTAAGCAAATTTCAGGCATTTGAACATCTGAAATATAGAACTTACAAAATTGGGTGGCATAAGTGGACAGTGTGCTTGATGTGTAAATAAAAATGAATATGAACAAACAACTGTGAAATTACCATTCAGTAAATTATAACAAATAAAATTAATGGAATTTGTGTGCAAACTGATTTTTCTTCTTTTAAAAATAGAATTAGATATAACAAAAACAAGACTAAGAGAAGCTGATTAGAAAGGGAAGGTCTACCTCGAATGAGACAGCTAGAATATAAGGCTGGTCAGGTATCACCACAAAAAAGCATGAGACTACTTTTTTTGTACTATGTAATCTGTACACTGTGCCCACAGAACTCTCTTCATACTCTTTCAAATGTCTGTGTCAAGTTTACAGTGTGAGTAATTATAGTCCTAATATGCAATCTAGAATTAGGAGAAACCTTTCCAAGCCTTTGGAATAGATATGGAGAGCTACAGGAATGCTCATCCCTCAATCATCAACTGAGAATTTCCAGCTGTTACTAGGTCTGTTTAAAATAACTTTCACCTGACCCCATCTGTGCATACTCAGAGTGACATATTTTGGAAGTGGGCCATTATTTTGATGATGTGGCAAAAAAGAGTGGCAAGTTACATAAGGCGGGATTTTAAAAAAAAATGTTCAGCTTTGACCTTACCCTATTCCTACTGAAGTCAGTAGGATCTACTCATTGACTTCTGTGAGAGCAGAGTAGGCCAACACTGGCCATTTTTGAAAATCCTACCTGTAATACACAGTACATCCACATGGTCATACGGACGTAGCATTAGGAACATTACTGCTTGGGGCAATACATACAGATGAGAAACCAAGCTTCACGCAGTCACCTGCTGGGATAGGGGAGGGTGTTGGTATTCTTACCTGAGTGCTCTTCCTGGACCCTGCTCAAGGGATTCAGTCTTCCACATTTACCCTCAGCTAGAAAGTGTCTGATGCATTTAACACTCCATCCCTCTCCCTCAACCCACTCTGGCTGTTGGAAGAGAGAAGGAGCTTTCTCCCTGTGTCACTCCACACCCCATCTCAGAGCCTACTAGCTGCTCGGGGGATGAGGGTTTTCTTTGCTACTTCACACCTCTGCCTCTCGCCTCGCTGTATGATTCCTCTGCTGCAAGAGGGTGGGGGTGATTCTGTTACTCATTTCAGCCCTCATTTTTGGCTCCCCTCCTCAGTGAATAGCCTCTGCGCCTGCCTCCATCGCTGCTCTTAGGTTTCACAAACAGGAGCAGAATAAACTGAGCTGGTGCTTATTGATTTCACTGCTGCCCAAAAGGAGCTGATAAACAGCAGTAAAAACTGGCAAGGCTGCTGCTGTTATTGTTATTTGTATCATGATAATGCCTAGATGCCCTAACTAGGATCCGGGCCCCATTGTGCTAGGTGCAGTACAAACACTAAGAGATACCCCTGCCCCAAAGAGCTTACAATGTAAATAGACAAGACAGACAAAGGGTGAGAGGAAGGAAGTGCTGTTATACCATTTTACAAATGAGTTACCAAGGCACAGAGAGACTAAAAGGAAAGGAGCATAGAGAAGATACCTCATATAGTAGATTATAGTTATTGTGTTAGTAAACTCAGTTATTATGTGAAAGCTCTGGACCTGGTGTCTTGACTTCTCCAAAATACATTACAGATTTTCTGAGCCTATGCCTCTAGTCATGCTGTCTAACTATGAAAACTTCCACCAAAGACGGGAAGTGAATGATTAATTTAAACCTATGCTCAAATTGTACCTTTAAATCACCTTTGTACCTTTAGTTCTTTCTTTGACAGAGTGTGAGCACTTTTCATTGTGTTTTTATTTTAAAGCACCATGGTATAAAACTGCATAAAAGATGATGTATAATCCACTAGTGATTTATACATAATTTTAATATTTGTGGCTTGTAGATATTGTTGTTAACCTGTATTACCAAAAATCCACTAATCCTGAAAAAGCTTTAAAACTAGGTTTTAAAAAACAAACAAACAAAAAACCCAAATGCAAGCAGTCAGCATTGTTTGAGGATGCTTAATGACAAGTGACGTTCTCTGTTACTAAGAGATGCCATAATGAGACTAAAGCAAAGATGGGATGCAAACAGAAATCATCAAATGATTATGCTAAAGGAAAGGTTGATCTTGTTATGGAAACCATTAAAGATAAAAACAGAATTGCTCTGTAAATGCCACATTATTGTACTGTTGAAAAACCATCCTCATGGTACATTGGTAAATATTCTAATGACAGATGTGACAGAGTGGGGATATGTCAGTATCAAAGTGTAAACTCCATTTTGAATTATGAGCTCCATTTTGTATTATGTGCTGAACACATGTCTGAACTTGCCCAAGACAGGTTATTGTAATACATTCCAGAGTGGCACCCTACTCAGGAAACGTATTTGAAATCTCACTGAAGGACCATCACAGTGAAGCCTTCAGGAGGGCAATCTAGGGCCATCAACTGTGACTGTCCTTTAACTACTGCCCCACTCCCCAGTGGTTTTTCTACAAAGGGGCCTCCAGGAGGAGTGAACATGACAGGGAGAGTGAGCTGGAGTGCCCCAGAGGGACAATGGCAAAAGGAGGCAGATATTTAAAAAGGAGATTTAAGAGCAGGATGCTGCTCTGAGCCGTGGGCCAACCATCATCACACATAGGACATGCAGCAGAAAGAGGGTAACAGATACTTGCCTAGCCTGAACTGCCAACAGACCTTGGACTCTAAAAAAAAAGAGTGAAATCAGATAGGGGAGGGTGCATCTCAGAACTTTAGTTATTTTGCAAAGATCTGTAACTCTCTAATGCTTTTAAAAGTAAAGTCTCGGATCAGCGGGTAGTGATCGATCTATCGGGGATCGATTTATCACGTCTAGACACGATAAATCGATCCCCGATCACTCTGCCGTCGACTCAGGAACTCCACCATGGCGAGAGGCAGAAGCGGAGTTGACGGGGGAGCGGCAGTCATTGATCCTGCACCGCGAGGACGCGAAGTAAGTGATTCTAAGTCGATCTAAGATATGTCGACTTCAGCTACGCTATTCTTGTAGCTGAAGTTGCGTATCTTAGATCGATTACCCCCCCCCCACTGTAGACCAGGCCTAAGAAATTCCTTTACTAAGCTTGTGTTCTTTGCTTGCCAGCCACACTGTCCCCACAGAGGTTACACTAGAAGCTTGGACCTCGCACAGCCTTGGTGGAGCTCTGCAGGAGTGTGTGTAAGTGATTAGTGAGGGGTTGGAGGCACTGGTTTCAGGGTCTAGTGCAGATGGACTGTGGAGTCCCATGCACCAGGGAAGGAAGGGTATCAGACAGGAGATTAGAGCCAGGGAGTGAGCCCCATAGACCCTGAGCTAGGAACAGTGACAACACTGTCCAGAACCAGTTGACTTAGAAGCATATGGGACCCAGCGATTGGGTCCACTCACAACAGACTGGTGACCATGCACAGTGGTACCAAGTCAGGTTGTAACAGCACACATTTTCAAATCCTTACTAAAGGATAATTTTCAATGCAAAATTTTTTTGAAAAAAAAAAATTGTTAAAGTCTTCTAAAAGCACACAATTTCTGCCACATCCACTCATAAGATGTATTATCATTTCACAGGTGACTTGTATAATTGTTTAGATTTTCTTCAGTACTATACCTAGACACTATGTATAAGTTCTCCAGGCTTTTTTCTAACTTGTTCCCCAGACTAACTTGCTATTTATTGCTCTCACTATGGGAAGGGAGTGGAGTCCAACCGTCTGCTGAGTCCAAAACAAGGAAGTGTATATTTTCAAGCATGCAGATGACATATCTAATACACCAATTCCAATTGGTGATTCCAATCTGAATGACTGCACTACAGCTTTTATATTTCCAGTACACTTAATAAAGGTCAATGTAGAAGTGGACAGAGGGTGTTGTTCTGCTTCCCACTTTGAGCCTGCATGTGTCAATATCTGATAGATCCTTGAAGTTGTTAGTCTCCATACAGAGCACTGAAGATGCGTTACTGAGCACAGCGGGATAGTAGAAGTAGGATGAGACTGACAGAAGGATGAGAAAGTCCAGACATAGCGGAATGTATCAAAGACAGCACAAGCAAGAATGGGGTACTATATAAGTTTTTTGTGTAAATGTATATAGAAAACAGTGGGCACGCAGGGATGAACTATGAACTACCTCAATTGGGCTCCAGCTCCCTTTAACCTTGAATGTTAAATAAAAAAAGAGCCCTGCAGTCTTGAATCACTTGATAAACTATTTCTTGCATCTAGAGCACCTGTTAAATATGCAGACAGAGATTGCAGTGCAAAGGCTTCTGTTATTATTTTACTCAACACAAACTGAATTATAGATGTATCCACCCACAGAGAGACCTGAACCACTAAAACTAGACTTTTTTTTCCATAATAGTTGAGTAAAAATACTATACTTTGGGGCTTCTGACCTTTTCAAAACCCCAAACACCTGGCCACACCTAGGATTGGGCCT